AGGGTCAGTGCTGGGACGACAACTTTTCACTTTATACATTAATGATCTAGATGAAAGAACTGTGGGCATTCTGGCTAAGTTTGTAGACGGTACAAAGATAGGTGGAGGGACAGGTAGTATTGAGGAGGTGGTGAGGCTGCAGAAGGATTTGGACAGGTTAGGAGAGTGGGCAAAGAAGTGGCAGATGGAGTACAATGTGGGAAAGTGTGAGGTCATGCACTATGGTAAGAAGAACAAAAGCATGGACTGTTTTCTAAATGGGGAGAAAATTCAGAAGTCTGAAGTGCAGAGAGACTTGGGAGTTCTCGTCCAGGATTCTCTCAAGGTAAACTTGCAGTTTGAGTCAGTAGTCAGGAAGGCAAATGCAATGTTCGCATTTATTTTGAGAGGACTCGAATAAAAAAGCAGGGATGTACTACTGAGGCTTTATAAGGCTCTGGTCAGGCCATATTTGGAGTATTGTGTGCAGTTTTGGGCCCCATATCTCAGGAAGGATGCACTGGCCCTGGAGAGGGTTCAGAGGTGGTTCACGAGAATGGTCCCAGGAATGGAAAGCTTAACATATGAGGAACGTTTGAGGACTCAGGGACTATGCTCATTGGAGTTTAGAAGGATGAGGGGGGGATCTAATTGAAACTTTCAGAATACTGAATGGCCTGGACAGTGCGGATGTTGGGAAGATGCTTCCATTGGTAGGAGAGACTAGGACCCGAGGGCACAGCCTTAGAGTAAAGAGAAGACCTTTTAGAATGGAGATAAGGAGAAACTTCTTCAGCCAGAGAGTGGTGAATCTATGGAATTCACTGCCACGGAAGGCTGTGGAGGCCAGGTCGTTGAGTACATTTAAGACTGAGATAGGTTCTAGATTATCAAGGGGATCAAGGGTTACGGGTAGAAAGCAGGAGAATGGGGTTGAGGAACTTATCAGCCATGACTGAATGGCGGAGCAAGCTCAATGGGCCAAATGGCCTACTTTAATATTATGGTTTCTGACTTTTATTGCTAGCCCTTTCAGAAACATCTTCCTATTACAGTCTAACTAATACAGCTAGAACTTCATCCTTAATCCAGAATTTAAACCAACAAATGATGACTATTAAAAAAAAGCATGAAATTAAACTAAGGGCAAACAAGGAAACAATATAATAAAAAGGAAAGTAACAGTTTTTAAAAAAATATATTAAAAGGAAAAGGGAGGCCAAAATGAACATAGGATGAACTCAGGAACATAGATGAGGAGGCATTTTTCTCTCAATCTGTGGAATTCTTTACCAGAGAGCGCTGTCAAGACTTGGTGAAGTATATTTAGGGCTCAGATAGACAGTTTTTTAATTACTAAGGGAATCAAAGATTATGAAGATAAGGCAGGAAAATGGACTTCCCAGCCAAAGTGTGATATGCCTTAAATTCTGCTTACGCCAAAAGAAAAAAGGAACCAAACGTTACAACAAATATTGCTATTCTGCTTTACCTGAAGTTACAGGCCTGTGATCATCTTTTGTTGATAATGAGGTACCACTATCCTTTTGACATATGGGAAAGCAGGATTTGTAAGGTGATCAGCACAGTTTCCAAGTATGTGTGCACAATGAGACTGTGACTGTGAAATAACTGAGTCACTTGAAATATCAAACTCTAAAGCTAAAAACCTGTTTTGCTAATTTAAGTTGACAGCCTGAATCACAAACTGATACATTGTTTGATCATGACAATAAATATTAACTAAATAAAAGGTGGTTCAATACCATCTTTGTTTGATGTTGTGATACATATAATGTTTCTGAATAAGTAGAACAAATTAACACAAAATAAATCACATACGTTCCTTTAAAGAAATCATTGAAATTGTTCTTTCTGTCACAGGCAGAAAGTTATGGGGAAACAATCACTGTAGGTTTTAGCAAATAAGGGATCAAAGCTTAAAATGTCACTCACTCTGTCCTGTTTGAATAGAGATTGTTGTGCACATTTATCAACTCTAGGACCAGTTTCCCATCATGCAAGGAAATCCACTAATGTTGTGGCCTGAAGATATCTAGCTGTAGAATTCCAGCATGCTCAGGCCTCCTGCGATCTACTGGAGGATTTGAATCTAAGCACCCACTTAAACATGAAGCCAGAGGGTTGTGGTACAAAAATGAAATCAGTTGGCAGACGTCAACGTTACAGTGAAAAAAAAAATGATGGTTTAGCAAGTTAATACTTTTAGTCACCAGTGTGAAAATTTTAAGTCACAAAGTAATTGCCTTTCTCAGGGTGGGTGGGGGAAACCATCTTTAACAGTCATGAAGCTTGTGACGCACAATGTGTATAACAATTGGATTAATAGTCGACACAGTATATGACTAAAGTTAATGAAACATCTTGGCTGTTGATGAAACTATATTTACCTGAATGTCATATTTTCTGTTCAGGAATGAAACTGAGATATTAAGGTTGTTATCAATCACACATTCCCAAAACAAAATAAGAAATAGGACAGATAACGAGTCCACTCTGCATTTCAACATGATTAAAGCACATCTTCTACCTATCTGTACTATCCCCATTTCCCTTAATACTCAAGTATCTTATTAAGTTTTACCTTGAATACACTCAACGACTGAGCACCTTGAGCTCTCTATGGTGATGAATTTCAAAGATTCACAAACTTTTGAGTGAAGAAATCCTTCCTAATCTCAGACTTAAGTCATTTACTCCTTACCATAAGACTGTGCCTATGTACTATTTTTATCAGCCAGTGGAAACATTTTCTCAACATCTATCCAGTCAAGCCATTCAATAGTCGTACTTCAATCAGTTTCCAACCAAGGTGAATAGCTTCACGTCTTGTAATACCGTATTTATTCTGCCATGTTCTTTCTCACTTTAACCTGTCTACAACTGTTTGCATTCTTTTTGCATAAAAGAAAGAAATACACTGGTAAGGCTATAGGAATGAAAGGTGGAGTGGGGTTTTTTGGATTGTTCTGCAGGGCGTCAGCATGGACTTAATGGGGCAAAAATGAATTATCACTTCCTTTCAACAGCAAACTCAATTATGGCGCCCCAAGGCATTAACATTGACTATAAATAGCTGATGCTTCATAACTGATTTTCTGAGCCCCACATATTACAGCCTGTCAAATCGATAAAGTTCTGTGCTCTCTCTTTCGTTCATTAACCAAATCTCTGAACTATGCTGATATATTACTCCCAATCCCACAAGACCTAATTTTGTTAAAACCTCTTGTGTGACACCTTATCACATGCTTTTCAAAATTCAAGTAAACTACATGCACCAGTTCATCCTTTTCCATCATACTAGTTATAGTCTCAAAAACTACTAAGCAGATTTGCCAAACAAACAATTTCCTTTTCACGATCAATATCAACTATTCCCAATCGTATGATTTTCCAAGAGCACCGCTACCACTGCTCTAAACTCTTGGCTTCCCATTATTTCCAGAATTTGTGCAATTTCTTTCTCTCCCATTATAAAGTTACCCATGTGCCTCTAATGGACCAATGTTTACTTTCACTAATCATTTCCTGTTTACAAATCTACAGAAATGTTTACCTCTTAGAGTGTCACTAGTCCACTCTCATTCTCTTTTAATCCTCCTTTGCTGATTCTAAAATCCTTTTAATCCACAAGTTTATTATTGTTGGCATCAATACACACCCGTTACTTCGTTCTAATACTATCTTTAACTTTTCCTGCTAGCCACATTGAGATCACTCTTTCTGTGGAATGTTTGTTCTTTAAAGAAATAATTTGCACCAAATATGCATTAACTCTGTAAAAAATAGCCATTGCTTGTCTATCATATCTTTTAAGGTAGTTTCCAAATGATCACAGCCGAGTCACCCCTCTTACCAATGAAGTGTGTCTTGTTTAGGTCCAAAATGAAATGATGTTCCCAATGACCAGGGAGTGCAGAACCAGGGGTTTCACTTTAAGGGAATGGGGTAAGCAATTTAGGACCAAGATGAGGAGAAATTGCTTCACCCAGAGAGAAATGACCCTGTGGAATTCTCTGACACAGAAAGTAGCAGAGGCCAAAACATTAAATATTTCCAAGGACGAGTTTGGTATAGTTCTGGTTTGCAATGCAGTGACACCAACAGTTCAAATCCTGCACCAGCTGAGGTCACCATAAAGGATTCTCCTTCTCAACCTCTCCCCTCGCCTCAGCAAACCCTCGGGTTAAACCACCATCAATCATCTCTTTCTAATGAGAGAACAGCTGTATGTTCTGGTAAGACCATGGCAACTTTACCTCTACCTTTTACTGAGTTCATCAGGTCCCATCTGATTTAAAGATAGCCTGCTCCAACCGAACAACTCTCTATTACTCTAGATACTGGTGCCAATTAACCATGAAGCAAGACCTCTGACTTCCTCATGAATCTTTCAGCTTCACATTTCTTTCCAAAATGTTTATCCCGGTGTCAATTTGTATAGGGCTCAGGTATCAACACAGACATTATCTTGGAGGTCCTGCTTTTTAATCGGATTCTAACATTTGAAGCACTTCAAGGGATATTCGTTTAGGTCAGTTGGCTGGACAGCTGGTTTGCAATGAAAAGAGACGCCAACAGCATGGGTTCAATTCCCACGCTGGCTGAAGTTATCATTAAGGATTTTTCTTCTCAACCTCTTCCCTCACTTGAGAGAGATGGTGACCCTCAGGTTGAACCAACTCCAGTTGTCATGCTCTAATGAGAAAACAGCCTTTTAAGTCTGGTAAGACCACAGCAATGTAAGCACACTCAGCAGAACACCATTCCTTGTTTTACATCTGTCGTTAATTCCTACGTGGACCATGAGACACAACTGGATATTACTCCTCCCAATTTGTCTCTAGCCCGGAAGCAATGTCCTTAAATCATTGCCACATTCTTAATTACTCTCTCCACTGAAGCAAACAACTCTTTAAGGAAATTTATCTGTCAGTTCTGAACTCTGTAATACATCCATCATATCCTTGGGCTTATGGAACAAGAAAGAGTCATACCTTTGGTTGAACGAAGAGGTCTTCGGGTTAGACTAGGCTGTGCTCGCAGAAGAACGTGATCTGCCAAAAACAGAAATAAAAGAGGCTATGAGCACTCAAAGTTCAGTTGTAGGTTTAGCTGAAGTCATTCAGCATAAATACCACTTTTAAGAACTCATTATTGATTTTCTCTACAGTAATATGTCGATGACAGAAGCATGTGCAGTAATGAGTCTTGATGATTCAACCCCATCGTGACTTCACCGATCTCATTTTGGGCAGTGGTCAAGACATGAAACTGCTTCAACAACTCTGGAGTCAGGAAAAAGATGTAAATGTTGCTGAGGCTCGTAAATCAGGCGACAACACAGTGACTCTTGTCAGAAAGTGCACCAGCGTGGGCAGCAGATGTACACAAGGTGTCACTTCAATACCCCACTGTTAAGGCGAAGGGAGAAGGGAGGATGGGCAAGAGAAAATGGAGATGGAAATAACAATTAAATTTAATACTATTCACATAATCCTCTTGTCAGCAGGGAAATGAATGATTCATATTAAAACTAGCTTGTCCTCCTGGTGAGTAGGGATATTGGTTGAAATGTCTGCTTCATTGCTCTGATGCATAGATATTAACAGTTTCACTGTATTTATTCCAGAACAAGCAGTTTACCTGGGAAGGGCAACGCCAAAGAGCAGCAGAATTGATTTATACCTAGTGAGTTAAAGGACAATTGGAGAACCACTTTAAACGGAACTGACTACAAACAATCTCGGAGAATTCTGTACCTGATGAAGCCCGAGATCGTGTCCTGCTACCGACTGGTGAATCACCACCTGCCCCCACATCACCTTCAGAGTCACTGGTTTCTAAGGAAAAAGGAAGCACAAGTATCACAATGACAATGTTCGAGATCGCCACTAGCATTTATAATAACAATGGTTGTTTCGAAACCATACTGTTTGAAAAGTTACTGATGCCAGATGAGATAAAACAGTGCAAATACCTTTTGCGACTCCACTTACTTGCGTCTGCTTTGCCAAAGTCAACTTTATCTTTAGGAATGTGATCTGTAGGAAAAGAGTCACTTCTGTTACATGCTGTAATTGCTGTTCCATGCAACAACACTAATTCCTGCCTGTTCAATCTGAAATTAGATAATTGCAGATAGAGTGTAAGGACCTGGGTAGTGAGAATGAAGCTTTCTCTCATCCTTGGAAAGGAAAAGTAGAAGAACATATCAGACTTCTTTTACATCAAGGCAAGACCAAGAAGATTCAAAGGCAGCCAGGGAAGTGAGGGTAAAGGCCAGTGGCAAACAAGAGAAGAAGGGAGGTGATGAATGGCTATTGACCAGTGCACAGTGACGATTTGTTAATGAGCATATTGGTCAGTAGAACTATGGTTGAGGCTGGAATTATTTGAAAGAAGCTCAGGTCTTTTCTGGTTCCATATCAGAAACTTAAATAACCATACATTTCATTGTTTGAGAAAAAAATTGCAAACTATAAGTCTAACAATAAACTTGATAGCAATCCTCACCGCATCAAAGCCATTGGCGTTTGTTTGACTAACAGCAGACTAGGAATTTGATTTACATTGAAGGTATGCACTTTTCACACAAGACATCCTGTCCTCACCAACTGTTAAATGACTTGTCTAGTAGTGTTAACATAACAGATCATTTCCAGCATCTGCTGAGGTCTAGCCAATCTACCGATGACACACCAAACATTATGATTGGATCATTGATAGATATGGGGTGCAAACTTTAAAAAAAGGCTAAATACAACTGCAAAAATTCTGAACCAACCCAGACCCATGTCAGAAAGGTTTTAGTGATATGCAAGATGTGGGTATTTCTGGTGAGTCTGGCATTTATTGCTCATCCCTCATTGTCCTTGAGGAAGCGGTGATCAGCCACCTTCTTGAATACAAATGACTGGCATGCTAGATTGCTTCATTACCGTGGGTCTGCAATCACATTTAATTGATTTCCTTCCCCAAATGAAGGATATGAGCAAATCAGATGGTACCTTACAGCAAGCTGGTAGTTTTATAGGTATTGTTACTGACATTTAAAATATATGCAATTAGATTAAAATCTGAGGGCCTGGATTTTAACACGATCACTTATTCAGAAACATTACCACTCGGCTACAGCTTCCTGTAATAGATCTGACACTACTAAACACAAAATAATTACTTTGCACACTGTCTAGAAATAATAATCAGACTCCTTCATTATCTATTTTCTCACTTGAGAAAGGGATCTATAGCATGGAGAGGAGAATGAACAAACAAACTGGCATCTTTAGTGCTTTACAACTGATGAAACACTTCTGAAATGTTGTCGCTGTTTTGATGTAGGGACAAACAACTGCCAGTACGCCTGCAGCAAGGTCCCAAGGTCCCAAAAACACCAATGAGGCAATAACCAATTACATTATTTCAGTGACAGTGGCTGAGGGATAATGTTTGCCAGGTCATACATGAGAGCTCCCTTTGTTGACGTTGTTGACTTGCTCACCAAGCTGGCTCGTTTTCGCTCAGACGTTTCGTCACCATGCTCGGTAACAGCATCAGTGGGGCCATGATGAAGCGATGCTGTTCTCCTCCACTTGGAATTTATACTGCCCAGTGTGTAATGGTGAGTTGTCTCATTTCCGGTTCTGTTCTGCATGGGTCTGTATACAGGGTCCAATTCTATATGTTTGTTGATTGCATTATGGGTTGAGAACCATGTCTCTAGGAATTCCCATGCATATCTATCTTTGGCTTGGGCTACTATGGTTACATTGCCCCAGTTAAACTTATGGCCTTCACTGTCCAAGTGTACTGATATTATGGAAAGTTCATCATGTCGTTTTGCTGCTAGCTGATGTTCGTGTATTCTGATGGCTAGTTTCCTTCCTGTCTGTCCGATGTGATGCTTGTGGCAGTGGTTGCACAATATTTTGTAAACAACGTTGTTCTGCATGTTGTGGGAATGGGGACTTTAATCCTTGTGAGTGCTTGTTGTAGAGTGACTGTGGGCTTGTGTGCTATCATGATTCCCAGTGATCGTAGAAGTCTGGTTGTCAGTTCTGATATGTTCTTGATGTAGGGCAGTGTGGCCAGTGTGTTAGGGCATACTGTGTCTTCTTGTTGTTGTCTATTTAGTAGGCACCTGCAGATGAAGTTGTGGGGATATCCGTAGATAGCAAAGATTTTGTATAGGTGCTCTTTCTCTTTCCTGCGTAGTTCTGGTGTGTTGCAGTGAGTGGTGGCCCTTTAAATAGTGTCCTAATACAGCTTTGTTTGTGGACATTGGGATGGCTGCTGCAGAAATTGAGTATTTGATCAGTGTGGGTTTCTTTCCTGTATACTGAGGTTTGGAACTCCTCGTTGGTCAAATGTTCAACTCTGACATCCAGAAACAGAAGCAGATTGTTATTTTCTTCTTTTGTGAATTTAATCCCAGCGAAAATATTGCTGGTGGTGGGTCTCTTCTAGTTTGGTGCGTTTAATAATGACAAATGTATGGTCCACGAACCAGATCCACAGTTTAGGTTGAATGAGGGGGAGGGTAGTGTGTCCTAGTCTTTGCATGACTGCTTCTGCAAAGATTCCTGAGATGGGTGACCCTACGAGTATGCCACTGATCTGTTTGTATACTGACCATTAAAGACGAGGTGTGTGGCGAGGCATAAGTCTAGTAGTTTGAGTACGTTGTCATTGCTGATGGAGCTGCTGGTCTGTGTTCCTGCTTCCTCTAGTATGTGGCCAGTGTTTCTTTGGCTAGTGGGATGTCAATCGACATGAATAATGCTGTGATGTCAATCGTCATCACTGATTTTTATGTTCTTGAGGGTACGGAGGAATTCTTGGGTTGAGTGGATAGAATGGGGTGTTTCAGTCTCTGTCGTAGGTCCTTGACCAGTTTGTGTGAAGGTGTGCCCAGTAGGAGACAATGGGTCTGAGGGGGATGTGCGGTTTGTGTACTTTAGGAAGCCCAGAGAAGCCGGGGGTGGTCATGCCTTCAGGTTTCATGCTTACGTAGTCAGTCTTGGTTATCTGTCCTGCATCCTTCAGTCACTTAAGTGTCTGGGTGATCCTATTACCTAGCTGCAGTGTTGGGTCTATCACCACCTGTTGGTAAGTGTTTGTATCTGCGAGCAAGGCCTGTGCTTTCTCAACGTAGTCCGGTTTGTTCTTAATGACGGTCATGTTCCCTTTGTCCGCTGGTAGGATTTTAACATTCCTGTCTTTCTTGAGTGTATGTAGTGCTTTTCTCTCTGATGTGTTCTGGGTGTCCCATTTGTTCCTTCGGCTTAGTGTGGGGATTATAGTTTGTGGGATGGCTTGTTGTGTTTCGTCCGTGAATCTGTTGTCTTTTAATGTGGTTTCCAGGACGGCCATGAAGCATGTTCCGTTTGTATCTTTATGCTTATAGTTCAGTCTGCATAACAGGACGGCTTTCTCAGTTCCTGAGAATTGTCTGCTGGATACGTTTCTTATCCACATGTCGGATTTGTTGTTGTCCTGGTCTTTGTAGTGGATCAGTTTGGTAAATTTCTCCTACAGCTGGAGCTTCTTCTTTGTTTTGGTCCTGTGTTGATTAATGATGATGGCCTGTTCTAGGGTTGTAGTCCATGGCTGGTCCAAGTGTTTAGGTACTGTGATTTTTGGCGCGAAATTTGCTGTTCGTACTTGTAGAATCGGTTATGGGCATCATTAATCAGTACCCGTAGCATTCTGCGTCCAGTCTGTTCAGATATTTTATATACCTGTGGGTTGTTGAGTGGAGGTTTCTACTTCACGCTGTGGGGCACTACCTGGTTCCTGAGGCATTCATGGAGAAAGTGAAGTTGTTCGCGGGTAGCGCTCAGTCGGTTGGCGAAGGTTTCCCATTGTCAGGCAATTTTTAGTGCGTTGCACCCGTAGGTGTTTAAGGTTTTCAGCAAAGATTTGTAGCTTGGGTCGTGGATGAGGTTATTGACTTGCTGACTGAGCTGGCTTGTTTTCTTTCAGTTCAGTTCTGCAACACGCCAGAACTATGCAGGAAAGAGGAAGAGCACCTATACAAAATCTTCACTATCTACGGATATCCCCACAACTTCATCCACAGGTGCCTACTAAATAGACAACAAGAGGACACAGTACGTCCGAACACACTGGCCACACTGCCCTACATCAAGAACATATCAGAACTGACAAGACTCCTAAGACCACTAGGAATCATGGTGGCTCACAAGCCCACAGCCACTCTACAACAAACACTCACAAAAAGCCCCTTTCCCACAACATGCAGAACAACATTGTTTATAAAATACCACGCAATGACTGCCACAAGCATTACATCAGGCAGACAGGAAGGAAAGTAGCCATTAGAATACACGAACATCAGCTAGCAGCAAAACGACATGACAAACTTTCCTCAATATCAATACACTTAGACAATGAAGGTCATAAGTTTAACTTGGACAATGTAACTATTGTAGCCCAATCCAAAGATAGACATGCACGGGAATTCCTAGAGGCATTCACATCTCTGAATCAGAAGGCTGTGGGTTCAAAACCTCATCCAAAGATATGACACAGAGTCAGTCAAGGCTAACAGTCCAGATGTTAAGATCTCCCTTCTGTCCTCTCTCAAAATTGTAAAATATGCTATTTGAAGAACATGACAGTTCTCCTTAAAGTAACTCATTGGCATATAAAGCACCATAAGACATTCTGATATTCTGAAATGCACTACAGAAATTCTTCCTAGGGAAGTGAAGTTGTGAGAAACTTAGGAGCTCAAGCTCTACATGCAAGTAAACACAAAATAAGTTTTTTTAAAAAGCCCACATTCAAGAATTTGAAGCATTTAATTCATACCTCTCCTCACAGGACTACTGTCCACATCATCTGTCACTTTCTTATTTGGAGAAAGTCTACTTCCATCTAGAAAAGCAAATGAAGATAATAAATCAAGCAAAGAACAAAACGTCACACTGCAGATAAAGGCTTTGACATCATTGTTTTGAAGCAAATCTTGGTTCACCCACCTGAAGCACTTTGACAGTTCCCAAGTAGGTTTGAAAGAACCAGTATTCAACTAACTCAACCGGTCTGCTTTCAAACATCGTCTGATTGGAATTATTGATGGTTCCACTGATAAGATAGAGAATATTAAAGGACTGGATACAAAGTTCATTTGAACTGCTGAATGCACAACAAAAGATCACCACTTTCAGTCCAGCCACACAGGACAGATTGCCATTAAATAAAAATGGCATTGAAGTATGGGACTGACAAGGCACTGGTCTGCTTTAAAATTCCACAGTGGGATATTAATCCTGCCAGATTAGATAATACATCTTACCCCTTGGCAAATGTGTCTCAGTCTTTGGAAATACTTTCTACTGCTGTCTTTCTCATTTTGAGGTTCATTTATATCACCATATAAAGGTACAGACAGAGCCAAAGGTGTTATTTAATCTTGGAGTTTGTGCAGGATCAATAAATCATTTGAGCTTTGTTCTCCGAACTTCCAACAACCACCATGCCAAAGCTAGACACACCTTTCAGGTGTGAATTACGAATATATTCAAATCAATTATCTCTAGTTACAATGCCAATATTTCTATACCCGATCTGGTTAACCATTAACCATGCTCTTTGATTACTCATTCAGAATCAACCTCACTTAAACTCAAAACATTTAGGTTACATATATTCAATCTGACTCATCTTCTGCTCTCTCAACTGTTTTTTCTAAACAAAACTGACCATCTAATTTCCTTCCTTAGCCCTATAATATTGGTAATGGTTGCCTCTTGTCTAGTATTGTCACCCTTCCTGTCAAATTTGTTGTCATCACCAACCTCTACAAATAACACCCTTTGGTTCCTATGTTCACCACCAAATATTCTTACTAACACTTTCACAAGCTCAAGCATCATCTCAGAATTTCATCCAAACAGCCATGTGAGCCACATTGCTGTGTTACTGTTTTTGAGGTAGCCATTCGTGATGCAGAGCTGGGAATGTGGCATATGTGGAAGGCAGCCTTGCGTTTTTGCACAATGGCACAGAGGGGCAGCATGAAGCTGAGAACGAGGAAGATTCAAGTCTAGATCCACGGAGGAGACCAGAGATAACCAGGAATCCAGTAGCTCAGGGTGGAGCATCCATGAAGCCTTATGGGCCATCAACAGCAGCAGAATCATACTCCAACACAATCTGCAACCTATTGTCTAGCATATCCCCACTCAACCATTACCATCAAGCCAGGGGATCAATCCTGGTTCAAAGAACAGTGCAGGAGATCATGCCAGGAGCAACAGTAGACAGACTTAAAAATGAAGAGTCAACCTGGTGCAGATGCACAACAGGGTTTGCTCTGCACCAAACAGCCTAAGCAGTAAGTGACAGACAGAGCTAAGCGATCCCACAACCAACAGATCAGATGAGTCAATACAGTGCAGAGCTGGAGGAACACAGCAGGTCAGGCAGCAGAGGAGCAGGAAAGTTGACGTTCGGGTTTACATCCTTACTGATGAAGGGTGTAAACCCGAAATGTCGACTTTCCTGCTCCTCTGATGCTGCCTGACCAGCTGTGTCCCTCCAGCTCCACTCTGTATTGACTCCGACTCAAGCATCTGCAGTTTTTGCTATCTCAAGATCAAATCTGAGTTCTGTAATCCTACTACATCCATGGTGGTGGACAATTAACTCACTGGAAGACGAGACTCCACAAATGTCCCCACCCTCAGTAATGGGGGAACCCAGTACATCAGTGCAAAAGATAAAGCTAAAGTCTTCGTACCAATCTTCAGCTAAAAGTGTCGAGTGGATAATCCATCTTGTCCTCCTGCCGTGGTTCTCACCACCACAGATCCCAGTCTTCATCCAATTTGACTCACTCCAGACGATATCAAGAAATGGTTCGGGCAGCGGATACTGCAAAGGATATGGGCCCTGACAACATTCCAGCAGTGAAGTCTTGAGCTCCAGATCTTGCCACACCCCTAAACAAGCTATTCCAGCACAGCTACAAAACTGGTATCGATCTGACAATGTGGAAAATTGCCCAGGTATGTCCAAAAAGCAGGACAAATCGAACCCAGCCAATTATTACCTCATTAGTCCACTCTCAATTATGTGATGGAAGGTGTCATCAACAGCACTTGCTCAACTATAACTTGCTCATTGACATCCAGTTTTGGATTCCCCTCGGGCAACTCAGCCCCTGAACTCGTTACTGCCTTTGTTCAAACATGGACAAAAGAAAAGAATTCCAGAGGTGAGGCGAGGGTGACAGCATTTGACATCAAGGCTACATTTAGATCGATTAATGTGACCAAGTGATCAAATACATGTGACAATAAATGATTCTAAGTGTATGGGATCAAGCGCCCTTACCAAAACTGAAATCCATGGGAATAAGGGAGAACACTTGACGATGGTTGGAGTCATATATTGCACAAAGAAAGATAGCTGCAGTTGTTGGAGGTCAGTCACCTCAGCTCCTAGACATTTCTGTAGGAGTTCCTCAGAGTAGTGTCACAGGCCCGACCATCATCAACTGTTTCATCAATAACCTTCCTTCAATTATAAAGTCAGAGTGGACAAGTTGATCGATAATTGAACAATGTCCAACACTATCTGGGACTCCCAGACACTGTAACAGTCCATTCTCAGATACAACAAGACCGGGACAATATCCAGGCTTGCGCTGACAAGCGGCAAGTAGCATTTGTGCCACACAAATACCAGTCTATGACCATTACCAATAAGAGACAGTCTAACCACTGCCCCTTGACATTCAATAGTACTACCATCACTGAATCCCCCACTATCAACATCCAGGGGGTTATCAATGACCAGAAACTCAACTGGACTCGACACATAACCACAGTGGCTACAAGAGCAGGTCAGAGGCTAGGAATACTGCAGCAAGTAACTCACCTCCTGACTCCCCAAAAGCTGACCAACATCTACAAGGCACAAGTCAGGAGTGCAATAAAATACTCACTTGCCTGCATGAGTGCAGTTCCAACACCACTCAAGATGTTTGACACCATTCAGGACAAAGTAGCCCACTTGATTAGAGCCACATCCATAAACATCCACTCCCTGAACCACTAATGCACAGGAGAAAATGTGTACGATCTACAAGATGCACTGCATATATGCAGCAAGGATTCTTACACAGCAGCTTCCAAACCCAAGACCCCTTCCATCTAGAAGGACAAAAGCAGCGAATACATGGGCAAACCGCCACTTACAAGTTCCCCTCCAAGGTATTCACCATCCTGCCTTGGAAATATATCGCCATTCCTTCAGTGTCACTAGTGCAAAATCCTGGAACTCCCTCCCTAACAGCATTGTGAGTCTAGCTACAGCACCGTGAGCTGCAGCTGTACAAGACGGCAGCTCACCACCACCACCTTCGTTGAGGCCAACTGGGAACAGTCAACAAATGCTGGCCTAGGCAGTGAAGCCCATAACCTTAAGCAAACAAAAATGCTCTGTCAGCTTTCGTTTGACAACTGCAACACCAATATGCTGGCGGTTTTGCAACCTTTTGGAAGCACATCAAGAGCTCTTAAACAAATGCCTGCATTAGTCCATCACTACAACTGAGTTGCTGATGCATCTGCAGAGTGATCATGGTGACCACCTGAAAATGGTGGTGCCCCATCTCCTGAGCTGAGAAAGGACCCTTTAAATGGAGATAAAGTGGAATAAAGTGCCCACAGAGGTTTGTTAATGTTTGGAACTGTCCTTGCCTGGGTCACTGAATATATTAAAAGCTGAACCAGACAACGTTTCGCTGACAACTTGGGAGTTAACGGTTAATATGGGACTGGGGCAGGAAAGGTGGAGTTAAGGCTACAACCAGATCAGCCATGACTGAATGATGAAGCAGCTGCTTCGAGGGGCTGAACGGCCTCCTACTTCTTCTCCTCCTCATCCATACCCTCACCTCCTCTTGAGGCTCTCGCCCCGCTCACAGGCCCGGAGCTGTTGCTGCTCTCGCTGTCGGTGTCAGCCATCTCTCCGGCCGGCATCAGAAAGACACGCAGCCGCAGAGCAAGCCCCTCCGCCGGGAAAAATCCGGGTCCTGAGCGAGTGGAACCGGAAACACATGTCTCCACTGTCGGCCATCTTGGTGAGGGCGGATTTCAATCAGTATCCGGTTGCATCAGTCACTGAGAGGGCAAGAGGTGGTGGTAGTGGGGGGGGTGGTATAGGATCGATGGGGAGAGGGGGGATAGGATCAGTGGGGAGAGGGGGATATAGGATCAGAGGGGAGGAGGGGGGTAGGATCAGAGGGGAGGAGGGGG